TTGTTTGATGCTTTTATCCAAAGACGACTTACATACTCAATACTGTGGGCTATCCCCACAGGAGCAATTTGGGGTGAGGTGTCTTGCCCAGGGACACAACGACATGCAGTGGGGTTTGAACCTGTGCTCCCCTGATTCAGAGTTCAGCGCACTAAGTTCAGCGCACTATCCCACTGAGCCATAGCCTCCCTATTACTTCGGCAACCTCTGATTAATGGTTGATTTCTAAATGTTCTGTTGGTGCGTGGATGATAAATAAATAGCATTTGATTGTATTGCCTTACGTATGCGGCTATTTGCCTGTGTTTAGAAACATAATTAAACATACCATGGACACACATTCAGTTTTCCATTTATTAAACATTGCAGATGAACAATGAACAAGTCATACAGCTAAAGAAAACTATAACAATTATTTTTTGTATGATTATATCATGGAACCAAATTTGAGCACACACCACTTAACAATACGACTGAACTGCAGTCCACTTTAGGGGAAGGTCCTTAAAGAAACCAGTGCTGCAGACAGTCCAGCAACCTGGGTATACACTGGCTCCTGACCCCTGCACTCAAGGCATTGGGGAGATGTTACAAAATGGGTCATTGTTTCTTTAAAAAGAAAAAATACAGGTTTTTAAAGATATGCTGATAGTTACTGATTGATGTCATGGACTGTATTTCTGAAGCATGCACTCAAACTGAGAAAAATACTGTTCAGAAATAGATTTGAAAAGATTACCTTAGAATAATATGAAAATCTGTCAACTATTTGTTTAAAATACTGTTTGTTACACTGAGCATTATTCAAAGAGAAGATGAAAACAATACCTCTGCAGATCAAACAGCTAAATGCCTGTTTGACTTCTGGCCTTGGTACTATCAAGTCATGGCTGGCTGCCACTATGTCAGAAATCTTCCTGGTGACTTCTTCCAGGCCTTGAGATGCATCCAGCAGTTCCTCCACCTTGTTGCTCAGTGTGTGGACTTCAGATAGCTCATTTCTGTTTTTGTCACATTTTGAAAATAGTTTAAGTATTAGCAGTCATTTAAGATTTTTTCTTCATTTTATTAGAGATAAAAGAAAGTTATGTATTCCATGGCAAATTAGATGATGCTAAATAAACAAGAGCATGTGGAAACATTTCATTTCTTGAAATTACATTTAAAGGATATTGTTTATAAATGCTGATTGTAGAACGGATGTTGACTGTGACTCTTCATACCATGTGCTGACCCACAGAGTACTGAGGTGTGCTACAGTGAAGCCCATGCTTATGCATGTCTGCCCCAGATGGCAAACGTATATAGCCCTTGAGCTGCAAAAATGCTAAATGGCCAGAAAGCAGCCTTTTTCAAATAATGAGAGGGTTTTGCCAGTCTGTTGTTAGCGAGTAAAATAAAGTGAAATGCTGCATATCGTGACCCTTCAGTTTGAGTGCTAGCCCTTCTTTACACATTACATTATTATCCCTATTGATAGACCAGTTCAAACCTTCTCCAGACAAAATCAGTTTTGTTATCCAACCACACCTGCTTCTTGAGCCTCTTCGACGCCATTGCCTGAAAGCAGAGCTCTCAACAGCATGGATCTTTCTTGCATTCGGCTTCCAGTACAAAGACCCTTTATGAGAGAAATAAAGAGTAAAGACACGTGAAAATAAAATGTTAAAAGGGGCACATTGTTGTACTGATAGCACTTTCAGACCCTTATCTTTTGCACAAATGAAAATGAAATATAGAATAATTATATTTACCAATTGTCCCTTCAGACTCAACTATTTCATTCCCAATGGTGTCTGTAAGGATGTACTCCTCACTGTCTCCCATGGCCACATTCACTTTTCCTGTGATCAGTGGAACGCTTGCCTCTGATTCAACAAATCTGATCATGACCACCCTTGTGGAAACAATCTTTCCATCCATTATTTCTGACACATGTATTGACCTGTAATGCAAAAAGAACAGTGACACACATTTAGTTAGCAACATGGACTAAAACGTAACATTCTAAAGCATGCCAACGTATGAAATGGGCATCTCATTACCTTTGAAATGACCGAGGGGTGCTAATTGATCTAGTCAACTGACTCATGTTTGCAGTAGACATTGGCTGACTATGACGAAAAGCAAACGGCCGTGACTCAGCTGGCTCTGTCTGGATCCTTTGAGTCTCCCCAGGTTTTTCCCCATGAACCTCATAATGACCGTGATCAGAGAGGTCCAGGGAGCAGAAACACCCACTATCCAATGGAAAAACCGCAACGTTGGCGGCATCAGTGATGAAAAGGCTACCTGCGTTGACCTAAAGGAAAATAACAGGTTATATATATTTCACAATTTCCTTTTAAACAATCACTACATTGTTCTTTGTCTTTCCATGTGTATCCTTGCATAATTTCTTCCTTTGTGTCGTTTCTTCAATGGTGGTAGTGGTTTATTAATTGTATTAAAAAAACATGCAGTTAGTAGTTAATCCTCAAGATTATTTGTATGCCTATATCAGACCTCAGTATCAATCTAAATGTCACTGATATAGTTTATAAATAAATGTCTTGCAGAGACTAAATTGTCTCAGGGCTGTCACCAAGTAAATGCTGTTTTTAAGTTATTGAAGTTTCTTCTTGCTTCGCTTCTGCAAAGTTCAATTATAGTTATGCAGTTATTTGTGCAAAACAGTTCATATAAAATAATTATCATTGAATCTTTTCACATCTTTTCATGCCATGTCTATTTTGTGCACCAAATTAAGGATAACATCCGATAACATCCTAATAATATCCTTCCCCATTTACAATGTGATATCTAAACATTGTTTTTTTTTTAAATTGAATGATTAACTGACTCTCTCGTCAAGACGACTCGTAGCTTTATTGCTATTGAAACAAGGTTAGCTTGTTACACGTTAACACACCATGTGCCTGTTCAATCAATAATTAATCACGGATCTCTTAAAAATACCTGAAAAATGCGGCTGATTCTGTCGACGCGCATGTCGTCTATTTTAAGAGTAACTCGCTGGCTGCCTCTGAAAAGAAAGTATGACTCCATCTCCGTGTTTATTGTTAACAATGTATTGCTATCGCCGTGTCCGACAAGTCGTTCTTAGCGGTAATGTGTGCATTACACAGGGTGCATTTACGGCATGGTGCCGTAAATGTACCATTAATTTACACCAGGACTGCTGTGCGCATGACAGGAAAGTTTGATTGCGGAAATAGTCACCCTCCTTATTAATCCAGTTTGTTGGCCTACAGAGAAGTTATACAAAGTATGATAAAAGATGGTTATACTGATCAAAATATATCCGATCATCTCCAGTATGAATGTGGCTTAACAAAAGGGTTCTCCCAAACAAACATCCGTCGCTTTTGTACCCAAAATGGTATAGGCAAAGAGCGATTGCACAATTCCCAACTGGAAGTAGAAGTGGCTAAAGCAGCTGTTGAGGTGAGGTAGGCCTATTAGGCCATAAGGTGAACCCTGTTATCGTTTCATCCCGCTCCACAGAAGTGGAACTACACAATCTTTAGTTCATAAAAAAGAACGAGTCATGCTTATCCACCAAAAAATTCCTGTCAATTCTTCTAGGCACGTAATTATTGGCTGAACTAGTGCCTTCAAAGCGTAATAATATCTTGGTCAAAAGTAGTGCCACGGTCCATCACGTGATCGTGCTACACCAATTGGGTAGCTGCATATACCGGTATCAACAAACAGATTTGGAAAAAAATGGCAACCGCCATGGTTTCATCGAGTAGCGGGGACGAGGAAAACGCACCAGAAAGTCTCAAAAAGTCAAAATTATCAACACACAAACATTGTTACATGCATATTACGTCTGTGAAGCACAAAAAGGTTGATTATTTTACCAATACAAGATGGAATACGTACAGGACAAGCTTACAACGGTGGCTCGGCTTGAAGGGAGACTCTCGGAACGTGGTGGCTGAAAACCACAAGCACTGCCTGGATTTCGAGTTCGAAGATATTCCTGAGGACGCTGGCTTCCACCACACATGCTACAGAAGGTTTACCGACAAAAAGGCCATGACGAAGGTGGAAAGACGGCTCGCACGTGAGGGAGATCAAGACGTTAGGGAGGACCTCGAGGTCGAGCCCATCCCATCGACGTCTAGCAGCACGTACCGAAGCCAAACAGAGAAGCTACGATCAAGGTCAGGCCTGCCAATCGCAGGCTCTGGCCCCGTCCTTCCTGCCCTGTGCATTATATGCAAGATGAAAGAGAAAATATATCATCAAAGCAGGCAATCGACAAAGGGATCAACTGTGTAAGACTGAAACATTATCAGCAGGTAAGCAAAAATCTAAAATGCAAACCTCCTCTCTCACTCCACACACACACACACACACAACACACCACACACACACACACACACACACACACACACACACACACACACACACACACACACACACCACACACACACACACACACACACACAACACACACACACACACAACACTCTCTGTGGTTGAATAACTGAAAGGTACAATTATGTGTGAGAGATACGTCAACAAACTCATTGAGTTGTCCTTTTTTCCTTGTAGGCAAATTGCAGAAAGCTGCTGAGAAGAAAGATGACCAAAGCTTTCTTTTACATATAAAAAGCAAAAGACTGTGTGCTCTGGAGGGCGGTACCACAAAAGCTGTTACAGTCAGTAACACCAAGTTTTTGCTGAGACCTGACAAACCAGAGACAGAACAGTAAGTTATTTCTCCTTGATTGCTTTACCTATTTGCACTAACCACCAGACTGAAGTCCAGGTGTGTGTCCGTCGGCGATGGCATATATAATATTATATATATTTATATATACACACACATACTTACATTATATAAGTAAACATCCAATTTTCCTTTCTTCTGTTATATGTGCACACAATCACAACACTTATTCATATTTATCCCATTTATTTACTTCTTATTCATGTGTGTTGTAGGGGTGAGCCAAATGTTTGATGCCAGTTACAAGCTGTTCTGTGAGAGGATCATCCGCCAGAGGCTGCTTTGTCAACAATGAGGTGCTTAGAATGGGCCAGCTGAGGAAGGCCTTCATTGACATGGTGAAAAGCAAAACGAAGGTGTTGATGCTTCAAACTACAGGTAACTGCAATGTAATACAAGTCTTATTATTTATCATGTGCAAGGCCAGCTTTAACAAAATGTGTATGACAGGCCTTGTTGTGTGACAAACAGTATCTGTTGAAGAAGTGCTGTCGATTGTCCTCACTAGCGTCTCACATTCCCACCAAGCATCAACTTCGCGAACTGGTTTTTACTGAGACTCTGTCAAAGGATGCACTCGTGGACATGCTTCCAGATCCCATCGGGTACGGAAACAACACAGTCCAGTGATTGAGCCAGACAGACAGCGACAATGAAACAGGGAGAACAAAGTGCCAAACAACACAGGAGGACACAAGACACTGTAACTCGACAGCGTGGTTATACAGCGCGTGGTTGTTTTGAAAGAACTGCTTAGTGACACTCCTTGGCATGTCATGGCATGGCCTCCACTTCTGAAAGATCTAAATGTCACTGAATCGCAGAAACTGTTGTCCCATGGACTATTATCAATTCTGGTCAGCTGGATTATAGGGCAGCTGAGGAGCAACACTGGACATCTATGTCACAATGATGATGACGTTACATGAAAGTGTTGTCTGTTTGTCAAGACATGTGTACCTCGCTTCCAAGGCCGCAGCAGACACCCAAGTCCTTGGCTTTAGGTTTAACTGTTCAACATTTAACTGGATTCTCACACGATTGATCACTGCTTAAACAGACTGGATCAATTGTGCATCATTGGGACCATCAAGTTATGATCTAAGACACTTGGCCTGGCCCAGACTGACACTGAGTAGAGCAGAGACAAAATACCGAAGGCGATTCTCCAAAGGCGGACACCCACACACTTGTGTGGGATAACATTGACTTTGGTGGAGGGACACTATGGGTCGTGGAGATACCCCCATACAACTTGGGATTATGCTCCAGAAGTTTGCCATCGAAGCCTATGTCCACGCAATCGACGCCACTGAGAAGAGGAGTTACCTCATTTCATAGCCCCCCACCAATCCTATCAATCTTTAACCATCCAGTCCAAAAGGCCAAGGCCACAGAACTTGTGTCAAACCGTGCAGTCAGCGACCAGGCAGAATGACCCCACTTTGCTGCATAAGCATTGACCAATGGCATATACTTGTGAAATCCACATTACGGAAAGTTGTACATCCCAAGCTGACGGGTCCATCACTGCTTCAGGATGAAAACACTGCTGCAGAAGGTCCGCATTGGTATTATCTTCCAGTCATTGAAGCCTCACCAACAGAGATGTCAACAGTCAACCACTATCTGAAAAGCGAAGTTCAGATGCTGACCAAGCTAGAACTGGATCATATATTTAGTGTTTGCCAGGCTTATATATACCCAAAGCGTAGCAAATACGCTTGGAAGATGTTGAGTTCTACAAAGGGGGGGCGTCTATGATTAGGCTAGGTGGAATCCATACAATGTGTCCTACCTGTAGTAGTTCTAGCAAAAAGGTTTGAGAGCAGGCTGCAATATTACTCATTTGAATCTGAATTGGTTGCCCCGGTCCAATAATAGGGTACTCAATGGCCATCACTACAATCGCAGCACTGAGGCTCATTACAAACTTTATATGAGAGTCTGCAGCGCATCCGGTTATATCACCTTCAGGACTCCTTTGCCACCCCAAGAGAGAGCTGCGGCATGATTCATCATCTTATTGTATATCTTTTTTTGTATGGAGTTTTGAGTGCAGATCATTATGTGTTTAATATTGTGCTTGAAATACGCAGACCTTGTGCCGGAGGAGTACAGAGAATGAACCATTTGGCTTCTGGACGCTCATACCATTGACATGATGCAGCGCTACTCCTCCTGTTTGGAGAGCAACGCGAGAATCAAACTGGCAAGCTCACCTTTCAACCGTACCGGTAATGATGCCATGGTTTTTGGCCTACGAATGAGTTAAATACGCCGATATTTACCTGGCATTCTGGCTGGACAATTATATAAATCTGCCTGTCACACATCCCCTCTTGCACAGTGACATGAATTTGAATGGCCATGTGACTGTCACGCGACAAGTGTTCATGGTTTGCCTCCATGCTTGCGACCAGCATGAGAACCTCCTAACGAGATGGCCAAGCCAAAGGTTGGCTGACAGGGATCACACAAAATCGGTCTGCAGTGTATCGCTGGATACGTCATGCATGAAAGAGCCTGCGATAGGGATAGCAAGACAGTGTGAATCAATGGCGGGATATCTCCTGAAGTAGGACAAGAAAAGACCTGGACAAGACACGGCTCTCTGCTAGATCAATGCTGTGAGTGAATCTTGGACATATTGATTCCATGCTCACCCGTCTTGATGTACACCAAACGGCAGTTGTGTGTCTTGCTCTGTAAGATGTGCAACAGGAGAAATCACAAAGGATTTGCTTTTACCTCAGAAAAGGGTGAAATAGCATGTAAAGCGATTTATGAGCAGAGACTGTTATCCAAAACGTTGACACCCTTTTTGCCCCCCATAATATTATCACAAAAACTCAAGACTCTGTGATCAGAAAAAAATAAATAAAATCTGCATGCAGCAGGAAGTGATTTGCATGCTGACAAGAAGTTATTTCCAGCGCTCTCATCCTGCCAGAGCAGGGAAATTATTAATGAGGAAATTTCTGTATATTCCTTGGGAACTGTCCATATCCATAGCAAAGTGCTTCTAGACCCTCCAGATAAAACTCGATCTGAGATCGCAGAACTTTACCGCATAATCAGCAAATGGCTGCAGATTTTGAAAAGGCTGGTCATATTTATCAAAGGCTTGCATAAATCCCGCATTTTTCCACACAAGTTGAGAGAAAAAAAGTAACTCCTGACTTGACGTGACGTCATCGCTCGCGCACACAGAATTAAACAACACTGTATAGCATTATTTGTGGTGGCTCACCACGATTAGAGAAAAACACCAAGATAAAAAATCTAATTCATCTCATTTATCCGACTGAACATTTCTACTAAAGACCCGGGCAAAAAC